TATGTTGGGACACTAATCCAAGTGCACACTCATTAAAACAACAGAGCTCTAACTTAGTGTTTAACATACGTGACTCAAGTTGCCATCCAAAAGGAGAGAAATGCAACAAAATATAAACCTAAATAAAATACTAAATACTGACCTACATAAAGGAGAAGAGACACTAATGTTCGTCCCACTTATGTTTCAGTACTTTTATTCATCTTTTCAGTTTTCAGTTAATTAACGGTATAAGTTTGCGTTTCAGTCAGTAAATGTGGTTATTGCTTGTTTTTCCGATTGATTTGAATGAATCCGTAATACATTTATCTTGGAAAGGAATAAATAAACAAGACATAAATTGTATTCAGAGAGTATCACAAGACTACATTTTAGCACTGTAGCTGATATTATGAACAGGATCTTGTGTTAATTCACGTTCCAAACAAAAGTTTAATTTGAACATCATTTTAATCTTAGCACTCTTTTCTCACTCTTTAACTCCTCACCTGTATCTTTTTTTTTTTTTCTGTCAGATGCATACATCATCAAGCTGTTTGACCGCAGTGTGGACTTAGCCCAGTTCAGTACCAGCACCTCACTCTATCCCATCTGCAGAGCCTGGATGAAGAACAATCCCTCTGTCCGAGAAAGAACTGCTGCTAGCCCACCCCACAGCATGGGAGAGGAAGAGGTCAGGTTCAGCATGCCAGTTGCTTCCACATTGTTTCCTTCCACTTTTCATACTAGTGACAACCGTTAACTTGTTAAACATATTTCAAAAAAGAGTGTATTTGGATCTGCAACAAGTAGGTGTTATCTGCAGTGTTATTCTGGAGTCCTCAAGCTTATTTGCATTCATTTTGTTCTGTGGATGAGTGAAGACAGGTTCTTAAGATTCAGAGTACTTGAATAAGTACTTATCCTATTAAAAGAGGAAGCAAAAACACTGTATAGATGACGGCTTGAGAAGGCAGTCTCTTCTCGTGCCTGTTGTTCTGAGAGTAGTACTGTAGAGAAAGAGTCTGTGCAGCATTCAGTGAATTTATGATGGACATTTAGTCTGCTTTTCATTTTGTCCGTGTCTATCCTAGAACAAAAAACAAAAAAAACAAAAGTTATTGGCCTTGGCTTGCGTTATGGCATTGCTATAGAAGCAGGCCTGTTTTGTACACTTGGCATTACTGTCAAATCATGGCTTGGCGTGTGTCGCTTCTGCTTAGGTCATCCTGTTTGTTTTCCAGTGATTGTGTGTTTTTACATAAGCGAATTAGGCAGAATTTCTGAAGAATAATCGCTTTTTTACCTATTATTATTATTATTATTATTATTATTTTATTTTAATATTATTAAATAGGGGTGTCACTATGCATGTTTCAATTCTTTTTTTTTTTTCCCAATACATCACCCAAATGTGTCAGTTACAAGAGTGAGGAGAAAACACTAAGCTGACATTAGCTTCTTATTTGCCCACTTCTTATTCACATTTTCTGTTCCACCTTTAAAGGAGCAAGCTCCAGAAAGTAACAGCTGCTCTTTTTAAGGTGGAACGGAAAAAAGAAGCTGGTGAGTGGGAAGGCAAGCATAGAAAACGAGCATGGCACCTCCACAGGATTCAGGCAGCCCGTAAGAGCAAATTATGCAAGGCTATGTAGGGATGTTTATAGCTTCCGATTTAGGACCACTACTCAGGTGTAGAGAGTTCTGGATTCCACGCTTAGCTGGGAGAGATTTAGCCATGTTAGAAAATCCCCTTTCACTCTTACTTCAGCCAGAAGGTAAGAGCCACACTTTTGATTTAGGAGCACAAGGTCTGATTGTAAATAAACTTGTAAATATTAGTCAACTTAATTCTGAGGCATATCCTTATGGGCTATTGAATGAATGAATGCATCTAAAAGATAAAGTTATTATCTTTTCTAATTCTATATCAAAAATGTATTGTGTTGCAAAATTGACAGTATGTATCATATCATGAAATTTTTGTATCGTTACACCCCTAATATTAAACCTCTATTACTCTGTGACTTCATCACAGCCTTAGGATTATTATTCAGAAATTACATAGGAAACAATGCAACTTGCTGTGCTATTCTTAAGTTATAAGAGTGAGTAATGCAAGCCTGGCGCCACTGGCAGTTCTGTAGAATTTAAGAGACTGAGAAGAGGAAGAAGGGGAAAGAGGAAGAAGGGGAAAATTACAGTTTCATAGAGAAAACTGTGCTTTGTAAATGACATCCGTCTCGTTTCTCTTTCAGGTAGCAGACATGCTAAATGGAAAAGGTCAAAATGTATACCGTCTTCCACCTCCTGTTTCTCCTCCTGTTAACGAATCTGGAGATCCTGTCAACTTGAGGATCCCACCTGTAGAGAAACCCGCAGTAAGCCAGGTGACTACTAGATGCTGTTTGGTATTTGACACGTGAGAAATGTTTCTCTTTAATACACTTAAATACTATCTGTGAATAAGAAAATTCTTTAAACAGCCAGCGGGTTTACTCGCAGATAGTTTACATATGGCTTACTTTGATCAATTTTAGTTCTTCCATGTTGTTGGAGATCTGTGAGATACATTATAGAAGATGACCTGAATTCATTATTGTATTATTATTGTTTTAAGAGTAATGACAGAATTTGCTACTGTCAGTGTTTCATCAATTGTAATAATAATTTTCTTTAGACCATAGACAGCACATCAGGGGCTGCGCCTCTCATGTTCAACCACATGAAACGCTGGAAGAAAATTAGACAAAAGTAAGATTCCTTTTTATTTTAAAATGTTTTCAGATATTAGCTTCACTTTACTAAGGTCAGGCTTAAATTCAGTCTTTTGATCAGTATAGGTTCTCTTATTTATTTTGATGTTTGTTTCAATTTAGGTGGAAAGAGGCTTCTAATAAGAATCAGCTACGTTACAGTGAGAGCATTAAGATCCTGAAAGAGATGTACGAGCGCTAGCTGACCCTCGTCCTCTGGAACAGGAGACAGAAATGGACTAAAGCCTTCCGAGTTCAACTATCCAGAAGTGAGGCTACACATTTACAGTAAATGTGAAGACGTTAAACAGTTAGAGCAAAATAAGGATTACCTGGAAAAGTGTGCAGTTATTGACAAGGTTGTTATTTTAAAAAATCTCACTGGCGATTTGAATGAAGCTTTTTGTTTGTATGGCTTGTGCTTTAGTAGTAAAAGTGCTGACATGCTTTCCCTCAGACTGTAGTCTCAACGTCTCACTCTTTTGTTTCCTGTCACACATGTCAGTACAGAGCCAGGCAGATGAACACTTGTTCTAAAACCTGGTGAGAACTTTTAATGGGCAAAAAAATAAAAGGTATGTGTTTTAAAAATCTTTTATCTTTGTTAGAACTCATGGATTTGCTTGGTGTCCTTGAAGGTATGACAAGTTATAAAGACGTTTGTGTAAAAGTATCATAGTAAGCTGCTATATTTGCTTCTTAGGAACAGTAGATTTCAGTGCAACATTGAATACTTGCTAAGAATTATAAGCCTGGTAGACACAACATAGGAATGATACTTAAGTGAAAGTATGACCACTAGGGATGCACGATGATATCAAATTCATATTGTTTGCTTTAAAAATAGCACTGTACAGATTAGAAGTGACTGTCTAAAATGATTTGATCAAATAAAATGTCTATCACATTTATTAATTTTATTGCATTTTTAACCATCCAAAAATGTCATATCTTTTATGTACATACCTGCCGGTGTTGACAGGTATGTACATGAAAGATATTGGATATTGCCCAAATTGGTGCATCCTTAATTTGTCAAATAATTTTGTCAAGTAATTTTGTCAAAATCTTACTCATTTAAAAGTGGAGGTATGAAGCTAAAATATATGTGAGTAAAAAAAGGAAACAGTATCTACAACAACATATACTCAAGTAGATTAAATTTAAAAGTAAATATATTTGATGGGTGACAAGTGATGCAGCAACTAACAGGCATAACTAGTCCTAGACATCCACTTATTTTTAAAATATTCTGCATAATTAAATAGCCAAGATATAAACAGTCATTCAGTGGTTTAAAGTGAAATGCTCAGTTCTAGATCATTACATTGGTGGTGATAAGAACCATTTGGTAATGTGTTTAAACATGTAAATTGTAGACATCATGTCCCCTGGTTCCTATCACCACCACTGTAAAGAAGTCTGTGCAAGTTCCTCTGCAGTGAATTTTAGACTTTAACATCTCAACAACTGGACTATACGTGCATTTTGAAAAATTGGCAGAATTTCCCTTGAACATATTTGTGAAAAGTTTCATTTTGCAATAATATGTATTTGGTTGGAGGTTTTTATTAAAACAGGAAATTTAAATGCATGGACGCTTAGGAGCTACACTAAATAGCAAGAGAAAAAGCGAAATCTCAAGCCCCAGTCGGGAATTGTCAGTGCCATTTGAGGAGTAGCTCTAAAAAGACTGCATGATAAGTGTAAATATGCATTTCGGAGAGTTCATCACTGTTACTAGAGAGCCTGTTGTTGCAGAGCTAAACTCTTTATTGCCTCTTGTTATTCCTGGCTGGGCCTTTGGGTGATGTTTCCGGCAATGATCATTACAGTGTGTAATGAGAGAATCCTAGTGGTTTTTAAAGAAAAGAAAATGTAAAAAAGAGTCACCATCAGGTTCAGACTGGACAGTGATTGCAGTTTTATTGATTTTGAGGCTTGTATAAATAAATGATTTATTTGGAAGCTTGTATAGATGCTTTTGCAGGTTTCAGACTCACAGGCAAAGATCTAAAAGTAAGAGTTCAGTTATTGAATGAAGAAACCAACAAATCTACTGTTTTATCTCACAATAGGTTTGAAATGGTCCTATTTAGGAGTTTAAAAGTAGAGAAACTGAGAAAAATGTTGAATAATCACAGCAGACAGCAGAAGAGAGTACAATGTTTACATGGTATATAAGATGCAAAGAGCAAAAACATGTTTACTCCTACATATGTTGATTTTGCTCAGGCACAAAAATATTTTTAAGATTAAGAGAGATCATTCAGATTGCTTATTGATGGTTGGAGTCACCTTCTGAAGATTAAGTGCTGAGCTGGATTTGCGATGGTTGATAGAATACTGAGATACCAGCAGGGCTAGATGCTCCTCAGCGAAGGCGCTTTCAAACACTGCCACAAAGGACCGCCTGAGCTTCGCCATGAACTCCTCACATATGAACACATTCAGAATGGGATTCAGGCAGCTATTGAAGAAGGCTAGGCTGACAATGAAGGGTCCCACAGTGTCTATAACTTCCTTAAAGTCATCAAGGTTGACTTCTTTGTTTCTCAATCTTGTTTCATGAGCCCACAAATCAATGAAAAGGTAAATATGAAAGGGAAGCCAGCAGCAGAAGAAGGCCAGGATCACAGCGACTATTGTTCTAAAGGGTTTCAGTGTCTTCTGTCTGAGGTGTCTTACACGTACACCAATGGCCATGTAGGAACCTGTGATGATAAGGAGCGGGATGAGGAATCCCAAAACGGAAAATTACACAACATTTGTAAGCTGCTAAGTCAAGGTCTTGTGCGCAATATGATGTCTGCCTGTCTTCAATAAACTAAGGAAGGCTGCAGCATATTGATGCTAACCATATGAAGAAGCAGGAGATCTTAGCTTTAAAAAGTGTTCTTTTGTTTTGGACCCACACAACCAGCCATGTGGACAGGCACCGGTCCAGACTGATGGCTGCGAGTAGGAGGATGCTAGCAAACATGTTAAGCACAGAGACCAAGCTGTAAAACTTGCACATGAAATCACCAAAGGGCCAATCAGAATTTTGGGACATGTTGACTATGTCAAAGATGAGAAACTGTGAAGAGAATGTCAGCCAGTGCCAAGCTGAGAAACCAGACGGGGTTGACCGTTTTCTTCATTTTGAAGCCTGTTGCGTAAACGACCAGTCCGTTCCCAATGACACCAAGTACACAGATCACAGAGCGGAAAAATATAGTGAGGTTCAGCAGGTGATTGGCTTTACTCCCACTGCTGACTGGTGCAGTTACATTGGCGAGAACTGTCGTTTTATTAGTAAAGGAAAGAAAATTAAATAGTTTTGGATTCAGATATGCGTAGATGTAGACTTTATATAGCCTATACAGTACTTTGCAAAAGACCACCCTTCATTAATTTAATATCCAGTCAAAACAGCAATCATGTAGAAATAAAGGTTCTGTGCAGGTACATTTTTCGTTCATCAAGGTACAAACAATATAAATGTTCCCTCAAAGGTACAACAGTTGATTTAAGGTTTATTTTTTACCTTAAATATTTTTTTCCAGGGGAAAAGTACATATTTGTGTGTTTTCATAGCCTAAGTTAGTAGCATAAGCATAAGTTTTAAAACAACAATAAAATAAAAAGCCTGGAGACGAGATGTTGTGTGTGGAGTCAGTTCAACTTAAAAAATATAATTTAAATGGAATATGGTACAATTATGTTACCGAGGTGGTACTGAAATGTACCCTTGAGGATACCACCCAGTGACAGTTTCGTAGCTTTTTTCTGGGAGTGTAGATATTAATTTTTTAGCAGAGATTAGATATAAGATAATTCTTTTGCATAAGGAAGGGAAAATCAAATGATAAGTCTATAGGACCTCCTAACAACTGTGCGAGACCTAGTAGACCACTAAAACTGTCACCATCAGATAAACAGCTCTTTGAGAGAGAGGAGAAAATAAGCTTCACTCTTGCTTCTAATCTGAAAGGCCCCCAGATGTTTCTATCCATCCTTCCACTGTAAGAAGACAACTCAGCACTTTGACAGGATGTGTAGCTGTCAAGAAGCTGTTACTGAGAAAAGGAAATAGAAAAAAAAAACAAAAGAAGAAGAATGTTTGCACTAGGATGCTGAAACTGGACATCTGAGATGTGTATTAATATCCCTGCAGATTTCTTTGAAAAACTGAAAGCAAGTCTCCTGATAACAATAATAATAATAATAATAATAATAATCATTATTATTATTTTTATTACTGGGGTTTATTTATACAGCACTTTTTATACTGGTGGCAGCTCAAAGTGCTTCACAGACAGGTGACAAAGCTTAACAGGCAGAATAAATTGTAAGTCTAAATTTAAAAACACAATGGCAGATAAATAATTAAAAAGATAAATACCATATTTTTCAATTAAATGCTAAGTTTAATTATCTAAAATTATCTAAAAAGATAAATGTTTCTTAAAAGTGAGCACTGAGCTTGACTGTCTAATTGTGGAACTGAGTTCCACAGTTTAGAAACATAATGAACGAGAACTTTAAAATCTATTCTGAAAGAGACTGGTAGGCAGTGCAGTTCTTTCAAATGGGAGTGATATGATGTCTCTGTTTTGTTTTTGTTAGGATCTGTGCTCCTGCATTTTGTATGAGTTGTAGAGGCTGTTTTATTTTCTTAGGAAGCCCAGTAAGAAGAGCATCACAGTAATCAACTCTGTAACAAATGCATGTTTCTGAGCGTCACTCCGAGATAGAAACAGTTGACCTTTGTGATATTTCTCAAACGATAAATAGCTACTTTAGTAACTGTGTTTTCATGCAGTATAAAACAGAGCTCAGACTCTTAGATTAAACACAGGGAGCTAAAGAACCGAGCTTCTCAGAAAGCATTTTTGAGTTTTATAACCAAGGATCTGTATTTCAGTTTTAAAAGCTACCGGAAAAGCACATGTTGACAAAGAACAGTTTACAATAGTTAAAACTTCATTTTGAATACAGTCAAAAACCATCATGAAGTAGAAGCAGAAGAATGGAAGCTTTCATAAAGGCAAAGAGTGGACACACTTATTAAAAAAAATCTGATATATAGTTGTTGGAGATTCTGTGTAATTTTCTGCTAAATGGAAATGAAATAAATGAGGCATGGTCTCTGACTTGGCACAGTACTGTATATATTATTTGAATTTATTCTAATATTAGTGTTTTTCTGAGCAATTAAATATACAGTTGTATACAGACATTTGTGTACCCCAGTCAGATTATGTTTTGTTGATTTTCTAAGTTTTCTAAGTGAAAAAGTCTACAGACAACCAGAGAACACCTCTTCAGAGTTTATTGAACAACTGTTGCACAACTACTGTTTTTTAGCTAAATTTAACATTGAGAAAAAATACAACATATAATGGCTGTGCAAAGGTTATAGCACTTATATTTTTATATATTTACACCACATTCACACCTGGTTAGAATGATGTTCTCCAAGTTTTAGCGGAAGTACATTAAAACTTTTATATGTGACATGCAGTTCCAGAGGTAGCATGATACATAATAAGCAAAAATGGCATTGAAAACTTCACTTAGACACAGGTTTGTGTGTTGCTAAATGTCCTTCCAGTGAAACTACAGTGTCATATTGGTGAGTTACACCCATACTTACTCATTTTGTAGACATCCTGTCACTCAGTAAACACTTTTACCTAAAATATTAAAACAAACAAACGCATATAGATTTTGATATATCAAATAACAAAAATAACAAAACAGTATTCTTATTCATTTTTAAACAATATAGCTGTCAATGTGTTCATTAGGTCCCTCTGAAACCTAGCAAAAGACATTGCTGTGGTAATAATTTCATCATAAAAAAACAATTTTAAAAACAATTATAATTTATAAAATACAGTGTGTCAATGAAACATCAGCAGTGGTTACATTTTCTTGTTCTTATAAAGAATATATGATTTCATGTCATAAGAAAAAGAATAATTCCAGAGTCTTACCAAGTCTCTGATGTCTGCGCTTGAATATTACAGCTTGTTCCCTGTTAACTGCTGTATCAGTTACTTCTTCTCATTCTTCGCCTGTTTCATCTCTTTTCTCTCTTTGCATCTATATCTTCTCTCACATGAATCAACGCTATTTGGATAAAGGAGGAGGAGACTTTGAGATAAATCTGCTTCCTCACCGTTGACGTCCTCTCCTAGCAGTCAGTTATCAATGTGCGTGCAGACATCATAGTGGGGTTGAGCTCATATCCGATTGACAGTAGCTACAGTGATTAAGCTTACTTTGCTGTTAAGAAGCTCTGGACCTCACTGAACCTATAACAAAGGAGAGAACAGCTCTTGATGTAATTAAATAATTAAGTAAAGTAAAGAAGCAGTAGTCTCAATCAATTTAGCTGTAAATGGACGCAGAGAGCTGGTGACCTGTCCAGGGTGTTTCCTGCCTTCTGTGACCATTCATTGAGTGCTGGGATAGGTTCCAGCACCCACCGTGACCCAGGATTGTGTGTGTGTGTGTGTTTGTGTATTTTGTAACCTCTCTTTAGAATTAAACAGGCTGCTTTTGTTTTTGAGCCTTGAAGACTGATATGTGTAAATAATCTCTGTTTCTGTTGGCTGCCCTGTATTTTGCCTCATTCAAAAAACACTCTGGGGTGAAACACTCCTTATAACGTCAGTGAGAAATTGGCAGAGCTAAACTGCTATAGACTGAATAGTGCGTTATATGTAAATGCATCGGTTTTCATGACATCACACAATTAATTCATTAATGACATTACATTAATACAATGCATTAATTCACAATGAGCTGTTTTTGCAGCATAAACTCTACAGACTAGGGGACTGAAAGGTACACTTTGAAACTTTAACAGTACTGCGTCAAACTCTTATTTCAAAAAAGGATGAAAAATGTAGATTTCCATGATATGGGCCCTTTAAAATTCCTTCTGTGAGGTTAAATTAGATGACCTCTCCATATCACAAAAGGTAATTAAGGAAGGACTTAACTTAGATTACATTATTTTAATTATTTTGGTTATAAGTATTTCACACATTGCTGTTATTCTTAACAGAAATGGAATCATCGTACAAGTGTATATTTTAGAAGTTCACACTGTTTATTTTAGGCTTCTGTAGATTTGTCTGGAAATGAAAAAAGTTGTTTGGTGCCTGTCATACAGATTCATCGATTATGCAAGTTTGAGTCTAGTACATCACTTGGCATAAATACAGAAAAATCATACAAAACCTGAGAGGTGCCACACTGTTGTTCTAAAACTAAAATCTGATTTTATCCTAAGACAGTTGTCATGTCTTTGTCCCATTGTTTTGCGTGCACATACATTGACCAACCACTTCATTAAGTACACCACCTTGTGTCTACACTCATTCCATCAGGTCCAATTACCATATAGGAGCACTTTGTAGTTCTACAATTGCACGACTAGAGGATGTTCTAGATAAACTGTGCAGGAACAGTTAAGTTTTTGTCTCTGATCTACAAGCTGGACCAACAAGGTAGGTGTGTTTAATAAAGTGGGCAGTGAGTGGACACAATGTATGAAAACTCCAACAGCACTGCTGTGTCTGATGCGCTTGTACCAGTGCAGTACTTACTAACATACCACCATAAGGCACCCTGTCTGGTCTGTAATTGTAAAACTATAAAGGAACTATATGGTACGTGGAGCTACACAAAGAATGTAGATACTAGGTAGGTGTACTTAATGAAGTGGCCAGTCAGTGTGTAACATAATTCAGTTGTGTGTTTGAACGTCCCTGGTCAAATGGCATGTTTTGTTGATTTTCTAAATGAAAATAAGTTCACATATCCTTTACAGGGTATGTAAGCATTTTTTCCTGCCAACTTTAGCACACATTTTCTATTTTTTTGCTGAGTTAATACATATTAAAAAAAATAAAAGATAAAATGTGCCATAACTTTTGAACACACCACATTTTAGATTTTATTTAATTTTCAATATGTGAAATTCTGCAAATACTAACTGCATTAAAATATGCAAGTATGTTCTCTGTATAGGACATAAAACATGTCATTTCACCAGAGGTACCCATATTTTTGCTCATGACTATATAATATATATGATTGAAATTTTAGCTAATTGTTTTTCTCCCTTAGCATTAGTAAAAACAATACAGTATATCTAGAGTAACATAGCCTTTAACTTTTTTCACAATAGCAGTTTCTTTTGGGCATTTTAGGACTGCATTAACATAACCTAAGATATAATTGTTGTGCATTTTCTAGTCTCATTTTCTGCTTGATGCATGTGTTGTCTGTTTCTGTGTGAAATGAATACCCGCAGAATTATGAAATATTTTAAAATGTAGTTTTCACTAAAGAAAAGCAGAAGCGATAGCCAGGTGCCATCTGT